ATTTTGTGCTCTATATCAGCAACCTAATTGGCACCTCAGCCTTCAGCACAACAGCTACCCGAACGTTGCAAAAGCAAGGGTTCAGCCAACAATGAACCCATGACAGCGTCGACCCTTGGACCGGACACAGGTCACCGGCGAGGCGCCTTCTTGTGGTAGGTGCAAGTTCTACTCTTGATCATAAGTGCTGAGGTCATGTCGCGAGCTTCGCAACGCACTGGGAAGCGCTGGACCTCGCTGCCCAGGCAGGTTTGTGCCAAGACCTGTCAGCACACAAGATTCACAGACGGGATGTTATGCAAAACTTGATGCAAAATACCATGCGGTAACATAACACCAGGTAAGTATGCATGAACGTACGTACGTAGGTTGGTATATGTACGTAGTATGTACCGCATGTTACTGTATGTATGTATGTATGTATGTATGTATGTGTGTACGCATGTACGCATGTGCCTATGTATGCATGTATGCATGTATGTATGTATGTATGTATGTATGTATGGCATGTGCGTGCGCCGCCATGGCTACAGTATCCGAACACTTAAGCTGCAAAGCCGTTGCTTCCCCCACCACTGTTGGCTCAACAAACATGAAATTAGTACCCCTGCTTCTGTTTCTGCTACCATGATTGCGATCTCCTACCATAATTAGATTACTGTCAGCGTATTGCTGCAGCGTTGTACCTATCACTGCGTCCGAAAGTTTAGAGTGGACGACAGCATTTGCAGTAATCTCGACACCTACAATATCGTGAAATCCTGCGAACGCTTTCATAAGTCTTCATCCCAGCGGGAAACTACTTCACGGATCCGCAACCGCCGAAGCCTTGATGCATTGACGCATGACAGTCTGACAGGAGGCCCAGGATGTCATCGAGGCTACTAGCCAGCTGCAGCTCAGTCGGCTGCCTGGTCTACCGACCCCGTCGACCTCCAATGTTCTGGAGGCAGCCTGTGTTCTCCATGCTAGGAGCATTTCCCCAAGCAGTGTGCTAACACTATGGGTTCTTACGCTCGGGCCTGCTGTAAGGGTGACAGACACGCACGCGGCCCCACGGCCCCCAACAAGGCATGTTGTAAATTGTAGCCAGAGTCCTGCGTCCGCTTGGGCTGCCGAACTCATTGCACATTCCAATGCGTTTGGGCCCTGCTTGTTCAAGTGCCACATTGCCATGCGTAGTTTGGGTTTTTTCGTTCACCTTGCGTTTCCAATCGCTGGCTATTCGGCTCCTCGGGCTCGTCCACGTGGCAAAATGAAGGTTGGCAATGGTGCTGCCGGTGGATTTCCGAGTTGCGTTTGTGGCCACCGCGGAGTCCACCCCCCCACCGACCCTGCTCCCGCCGCGTGTTTTTGAACGGCAGGCGTGTCCAGCAGTCCGCGACATGGTTGGCTCGTGAGGGTGTGCCTAAGCCCGATACCCCAGAATCTGAGAAGCCCGGAGCCCGTAAACAAACCCTCTAAAGCAGGAAGAAAAACCGCCCATGCTCATAGGTACAGCAGGCGTCCCTCCAGCCTGACGCTCCTCGCTACAAATTGCGCTGGGGCCTAAAAGAGGACTCGGCCGGGGAGGATAGATTTTTTGGAGTTCATGTCGAGGGGCATGGTTCAGGGTCTAGGGCACTGAAGTATTGATGTGGCGCTCATGCGGGACTCTGTTTGAGAAAATGCAGCACTAGAGCACTAGATGGCAGGCGTTTATGGCACAAACTGTGAAGTAAGTGAACAAGGAACGCACAGAGTAGACGTGCAAGAAGAGGCAGCACTGCTTAACCGGAAAAGGGGCTGAAATTCCATTCGATGCCAATAAGTCCGCACATATACGTTTTTGGGCTCATAGTTGTTCTGTCCGAAAAGCGTTGCTATATGACTGAAGCAGGCACTGGTAGTGTTGATTATGATGGTTATTCAACCAGCGGGAAGTAGCAAAGCTGATGAGCGCGAAGAGAGGGTTTTCCAGCTTTTCCGGAAAGCGCACTTCTGCCGCCTGCTCCGCGCATCTCGTAGTAACCGGGGGAGGAGATTCAGGCTTCTCGTAGAGAAATTGTCAAACTTTGCTGGCCGTTAGACGGACAGTGCCTGGAAAAACTGCACATTGCAGGTTCTGCTCAGTGTGCTCAACCACCCATTCTTACCTCCCTCGCCTCAACTGTCCCCCCCGAAACCTTACATGTACATTCCCCAGGACTTTGGACTTCGTGTTTGCACAGCCTTGCTGTGGCATGGCGATCCCGAGGTGACTGCTCGGACGACTTAGTGACTTTAGCTGACCGTAACAGGAATCAGTGTCTGCATTCTACAGCCGTGCCTGTTCAGCTGAATCTGACTTGTGAGCTATGAAAGGCCACCAGAGAACCAGATGTTGTTCATAAGCCCAGTGGGGGATTGAGGTATCCAGTACTTTAGACAGGACGAGCAGCGGGATATACGGGATATACTAATATACTACACACTGACACGGATTCCGAAGATATCCGGCCATCCCCAAACCCGGAGCTTTCGTTTTTCTTCACGTGCCTGCAGGAGGACTTGCTCCACCCGGGCTTGGTGCACCGTTGCCAGCACTAGTCCAAGTCCTCAAACAAGTCTCGCGATATCTCCACCATTCGTGTTTGTTCTGCCCACCCATATCAAAATTTATGTTGGCGTGCCCCAGCCCGCACTTCCGGTGGCTGGTTGGATGTTTTGGTCGTCATTGTTCGCCTTGTCCTTGTGCTGGCTGCTGCTGCTTCTGCTGCTACAGCTACTGCTACCTGGCGTCGTGTCTTGTGTCTCGCGCATGTTGTTTTCTCTGGTATCACAATTATGTTATTGGCACTGCTGTCTTATTCTTGTCTTACGTCATTGTTGGTGCTACTGCTGGGCTGCAGCTGCTGCTGCCGCTGCTGTAGGCGGCGGTGGTCGTGCAGGTGCGGGTGCCGTCCTTGTTTCTTGTTATTTCAGTCAAAGTATCGTGATATGATTCAGATTCTGATAGTGGTTGCTTCGACAGGGATCCTGATGTGCTGCGAGAACTGAGGGAGCTGGGGCGTCCGCCTGTGCGATCGCTGACCTGTGGCCAAGCGGGCGAAATACCGTCGTTTGCTACTGGGCTTCGCTGGGGTTGTGGGGTGGGTATTGGCGGGCTTCTGAAGACCACTTGTGCAGTGTCCCCGCGAGACAAACCTCCCAAGGCCCTATGATGAACGTCCGCAGGTCGTGCAGGGACGTTTTGGGTCCCCGCTGATGCTGTCTTCTTGAAGTAAGGACTAGTACTGATCCGAGGACCCCACCTACATAGAGCAATCAACTGTTTAACAGACAAACAGCGGAGAAATACATACTTTTGGATACTTATGTACAGTGACTTTAGGACTAAGTGTCCAGGGTGCCCTTTGGGGATTCGGGTTTACAACGCCTGTAAATTTTAAATGCGTCTGAGGCCTGGGAAGATGCGTGGACATGAGGCAACGGCGTGTGAGCAAAAAGTGCCCTTGAGGTTTTAGGGTGGGAACGGGAAAACCTTCGGGGGCTTAGTTAAGTTATGCACACCGAACCCCACGGTACAACTTGTAAAGTTGCATGGGGCACTGCTGTTGTGCGCAGCTGCTTGGAGTGTTCGGGCTTCATTGCGAGACACGTTGATTGCAAGGGGCAGGTCTTCTGTGACAACGACTTGCAAGCCTTCTTTTCCTGACTTTGCTTTTTTGACGGTCCCTACTCCGGTAATGCAGCTCTAACACAATCACGTTTCTGCTGTTGCAGTGTGCGATACCCATGACACGTGATTTCCCACTCGGATTATTGCCATGGCCGCTACAAGACCGTTACCATGAAACCATCGAAGGTTTGCCTCGAGAAGCTGGACGAGTATTGAAAGCTGAACCGCAGTCCCGAAAGACCTGGGCGCCCCAACATAAGATGTGCCCCTAAACTATGGTGCCTACTCTTACCTGACTGCAGCCCGTGATCATTGCCACACGGCCTTGAAACATCGCAGAGTATTTATTTTTCACTTCAGAATGAGGTTGCCTGTAGGTTTATCGTGGCCCAGAACTTACAAGCGGGCATGGGATGCCGGGTAGTCCAAGGTTTGAGGTCTCAGCCTGTAATGAGCTGTCCATGACAGATCAAGAAGCTCCATCAGCCCGTGCGTCTCTTGGTACGAAGTTGTGCATAGTGGCCGAGGTTCTGGAGGTCATTGCTGGCAAGGCGGTCGGAAGTGGCAGGGGGCACGAATCAGAAGCCTTCAACCCTGAGCCTAGCTCTAGCCCATACTGCACTCTGCATCGCAAGCTGCTCTGTTGATAGTAGCTTGCGACTGCCGAGCGGCGCAAAAACACCCGGAGTTTTGATTTCGGGGATATGGGGCTTTAGCTTTACCGAAATCGACCAACCTGTGATAATCTTTAGATTTTACGATCAAACTCGCAAGTTTCCTGAAGAATCGTTCCTGCCGATTGTGTACGATGTTTTTACTCGCACGCATGCTAATTCCGAAAATTAGAAGGCAAGCTGCAAGAGTTCTGTGGGCCATGGACTACTCCCCCAACCCACAGCCTGATGTGACAAGTCCACGCGTGAGGGCACATAACCAAGCCTGACATCCTAACTCTTGACCAAATTCCCAGACTGTGCCGCGGAATGCCATCTCCCCATCCTGCACATGCCGAACTTCACCTGTGAACACACTTTCTGTACACTGTAGAAGTCCTACCCCCGGCTCTTGTTGTTGACTTTCCTGTTTATGGTATGCTCTCTCCACGGCCCAACTGAGTTCTATGATAACTATCCGCGGCTTCGAACAAAGCGGCTGTGAACTTGAACTTGTCACGGTGTGTTTCTTTGTGTTAGTTTCATGTGTTCCTTAGTCTTGTTGTTGGCTTTTGTTAGTACATTCCTTACCCCGTAATGCGTTGCTGTTACTCTGTGTCGTGCTGCTGCGCCCCTTACTGCTCTGCCGCTGCCCGCGGATCGCAGTCACCATGCACGGCCATAGGCCTCCCAATCGTCGTCATTGCGGTCGTCGGTATGTGTTCTCCTGTTTTTGTTGATGGCACCTTCGGCGTTTCTTCGTGCTTTCTTACTTATGCTGACGGTAACGATGATGATGATGATGATGATGATGACTGGTGCTATTTCGCGATTGGTCGACGCTTCTTTCTTTCAAGGCCCTACGACTGATGTACGGCTCTGTTCTGTGTAGACTGCCGACCAGCCAGTCTCTGGACGCCGTCCTCGAAGAGCGAATTTGTGGTCCACTGAAGATGCGCGACACTGGCTTCAAGGTGCCAAAGGACGGACAGCATTCCGAGTTCAGGCAAAAATGGGCGTTTGCAGACACTAGCCACTAGCCCGCAGTAACTACTCAGCTCAAATCTGAAAGCCCGAAACAAAGACAGCAAAACCCTTCATATCCTGCCGACCTTCGTGAGTGCATTTCTTGAAGTGCAGCGAAGCTACATTGAAGGGCTTTTGGACCTGCAGTCTGCTTCGGGGAGACGGTGCATACAATTGGACGCACAGGCGTTGTTTGAGGTCCTGAACGACCTGTTCTGCAGTCTAAATCTCCCCTGATGTGGGACGCGATTCCTTCATTGGTTTTGGTCATCATAACTTTCAGGCACCGTCTTGTCGCTCTAGGCAGGAGTTGTTTCGGCGTCCCGTGCCTACGTTCAGGACCGTGCGCCGGAAGGGTAGCACAATCTTCACACAGGTGCCATCAAAGAGACGGACCCAAAGTCGTATAAGCCAATTCCCTCATAACCTCAGCCTTGTACCCAAAATGGGAAAATCACAATCCCCCTTCCCGAACCAGCCGAACGACATGCCCCGCAGCCGCCAGGAGCACGCCAACCGGATTGGGTCGACAGCTTGGAAGTTTTACATCTGTCAGGTAGTGCTTAGGGTGTTTATAGCCCCTCCGCACTTTTTGTCAACAAGCTCAGAAACGAAGTGGCAAGGGCTCGCAAACCCCAGTCAGCCTACTCTTGCACCGAGAGCTCTCCAGCTTTGGTATCTATCGGCTGCAAAGCTGGGACGGCAACTTTGCACAAAGCCTCCGAAGCTTGACACACGCAGACTCCAAGGTTCCCCCTCAGATATCTAAGCAGTCCATCTGTCCTGGAAGCTGTCTACTTGAGGACGAGGCAGTTTAGAGCAGACTCGGCAGCTTGAGACCGTTTGAGGGATTGGAAACCGGGTGGCACCTCCATGCTTACCATGATTGTTCATCTTGTCGTCAAACCACGACGCCTCGGAAGGAACACCAATGAGCTTTGGGTCTTGAGCGGTTCTAGTTCTAGGTTTCGCTCACGTTGATTGATTGATGGTACATCCAACATCACAAGCCCCGATCTTCCGAGACTCCCATGTGAGCTTTTTAGCACCCTTCTCCATGGGAATTTCGGAAACTGCGCACCTCCAAGGCCCTGGTACAAGAGCGTCGAGATTGAAGGCAAGCCTCAGATTGCTCATCGCAGGGCGCCGAGCTCGAAGCGAAGCGCGCGGATATTGGAGGGGGCAGTTCCCAAAGGGCAAAGGCTTCTGCTGGCGCGCCAAGTCTCCCGCAACTTCCCTGCAGGGTTACAGGACGGGTTTCTGCAGCCGCCCTAGAGGAAACCCTGGCTAAATAAAACATTCTCCGAAGAACAAGGTGGGCCTTTGTTCCAGTAGGGTGGACTCTTGGTGCTACGGCTTATGGTATAGAATGAGGGTTTGGGGCTCAGGGGTACCATGAGTTTCTTGGCTCGGGGGGAATTTGCTGTGCTGAGCATGTTCACGAAACGAAACAAAGTCGATGCAGCCATGGCCTGAAACCCCACAGCTGTCACGCCGTGTCCTCGACAGAGGCTTAGATGTCGTGGACCCTGGTGGAGACAACAGCGGATGGGCCCAGGTCTCAGAAGAATTTCTTTCCGAAGAGTTTGATGCACGGCCAGTGGAAGACACGCAACACAGAAGAGATAACGAGCAAAAGTAATCTACAGGTATTGCTACATGGAGAGACAGTTGTGTATGACACAGTCGTTTGTTGGCGTCGCAAATTCTTTGCACAAAGCAAGCCTCGAGTCTGCAAAGATGGATGTGTCTTCGTGCAAGGGCGTGTTGCACTCCTAGGCGTTGGCAGTAAAAAAACAAACAAACCGTAGCGCGACGAACTCTACGCGTTCCGGTGTTCTGTTGGGCATCGCCATGTTGCATCATGCAGACCATTCTGAAGTCTGAACCCTCAGCAAACATCAAACTCAAACACGACTCTCCTGAAGAGAGCCTTGCATGGTAAGTTCGAGGTGTCAGAGTTAGAGCTGAAACCTGGCTGCTGGTGATCGCGTCCCGACGGCCAGCTGACACCCTATCACAAGAATAAAAAAGGCACCTCTAAGACTCTAAGATTCTTAGGGCTAGTTAGCTTTGCATGCAATATGCCCGATTAGTTATTGAAGCTGCGGAACATTGCGGCTCTCATACTCTGTCTCTCTGTCCCTCTCTCTCCCTCCCTCCCTCTCTCTCTCTTTCTCT